CCAAAATGGGTCCCCAAAGAAGGTTAGGCATATATGTTGGGTTTGAATCACCTGTTATTATTCGCTATCTCAAAACATTAATGGGAGATTTGTTCACTACTCGGTTTGCAGATTGCCGATTCAATTAGACATTTTCTCCAAAATTAGAAAATGATAAAACCAGACGGGAAATTTTGTGAAAAAAAATCCATCATTGTCTCATCTTAATTCACATGCCTCTATTTGTGAAAAAGATACAAAAAAGGTTATTCATTTACAGAAAATAGCAAATCAAATGCGAGATGCATTTACGATCTAAAAAATATAACAAAATCACATAATCCTTGAGCCTGAGACTCAAGAAAATAAGGAACTTATCAATAAATCCAATTGATATTGAGACGAATTTGGATCGATTTAATATAGTGGTGGACTATATCTTTGCATATAATATTTGCATCTAGCATTATGCAAGACAGTAAGGATCTTGAACCTCTTGGAGAATATCGACAAAGATGTGATTGGCCAAAATGGCAAGACAAAATCCAATCAAGCTGAATGCACTTGCGAAATGTGAAGTTTTTGGGCGTGTAGTCCAAACGCCTAATAGTGTTAAGCATGTTGGCTAAAATGGGTCTTTGTACATAAGATGAATGAGAAAAAATAAGGTACAAAGATATAAATTACACCTTATTACACAAGGATTTTCACAAAGTCCTGGTATCGATTATGAAGAGACAATTCACTTGTCGTGGATGGAATAACGTTTCGTTATCTCATTGATTTTGTTGTATATGAAAAGCTTGACATGCATTTTAATGGGTGTGTTTACAGACAACTTTTATGGCTCACTTGATAATGAGATATGAAAAATTTCGAAGGATTTAAAATGCCTGACGCACATAATTAAAGTCTCAAAAAATATTTTCAATCAAATTGCAAAGATCTTTGTATGGTCTAAAGAAATCAAGACGAATATGGTATAACCGGCTTACTGAGTATTTATTAAAAGAAAGTGATATAAACAATGCCATTTGTCCATGTATATTTATAAAGAAAACAACATCGGAGTTTATTGTACTTGCCGTATATGTTGATGACATAAACTTTATTGGAACTCGTATAGAACTCCAAAAGACAATTGATTATTTAAAGAAGGAATTTGAGATGAAAGATCTCAGAAAGATAAAATTATGTCTCAGTTTAAAAGTTGAACATTTGACAAACGAGATTTTTGTTCATCAATTTGCCTATCAGAAAAGGTATTGAATCGGTTTTCACATGGATGGAGTACAGCCGTTAAGTACTCTGATGGTTGTTCCATCACTTGATGCGAATAAGGATCCGTTCTGACCTCAAGAAAAGAATATAAAGCTTCTTGGTCCTGAAGTACTATATCTTAGTGCAATTGGTGCACTAATGTATCTTGCTAATACTACAAGGCCTGACATAACCTTTTCAGTTAATGCCTTAGCAAGATATAACTCTGCTCCTACAGAGAGATATTGGGATGGAATCAAACACATATTGCGGTATCTAAAAGGGACTACCAATATGAGCTTATTTTATGGCAACGATTGCAGTCCCGATCTTGTTGGTTATGCCAATGCTGGATATTTATCCGACCCATATAAAGCTCGATCTCAAACATATATGGAGGCACCACCATATCTTGGCGATCGACTAAGCAATCAATCGTGGCTACTGCATCTAAAAGCTGAGATAATCGCTATTCATGAAGCAAGTTGAGAATGTGTGTGATTGATGTCTGTAATACATCTTATTCGAGAACAAAATGTGGTTTGGAGTGTGACAAAATACCCATGATTTTGTATGAAGACAATGCAGCATGCATAACCCAATTGAAGGGAGGATTTATAAAAGGAGATAGGACAAAACACATTTCTTCAAAGTTATTTTTCACACATGATCTTCAAAAGAATGGTGATATCAATGTGCAAAAAATTTGTTCAAGTGATAATATGACTGATTTGTTCACAAAATCTCTATCGACGTTAACATTCAATAAGCTAGTGTATTAGATTGGGATACAAAGGCTCAAAGATGTGAATTGATGCTCTCATCAAGGAAAGTAAATACACATTATACTCTTTTTTCCTTACAAGGTTTTGTCCTTGTGTATTTTTCTTGCAAGGTTTATATTGAGGCAACCAAAAGGCATATTATTAAACATGTGTACTCTTTTTACCTTCACTAGAATGTTTTTTCACTTGGTTTTATTTTAGTTAAGGTTTTAACGAGGTACATTATCTGTTGAATAGACTTTCAAGAGGGATTATTATAAATAGTATTGTATTTAAGGTGAATGTTTATCTTTTAGAGAGATTTTAGAGTTTGTTACTTTGTGGCTATGTCACTTTTTCCTTATAAATAGAGGGGTTCTATTCTATTGTTATTCATCCCATTTTCAAATCAATAAGATTTTCTCTATTTTCTTTGGAATATTCTTCTTCTCTTTAATTGTTTTATTTCACACGTCAAAATTTGAAAGCACGCGAGACAAGATTTTTCTTAAGCGCCAGAATTTTAAAGCAGGTTGGTAAGAAATTTAAAGCACGCAATAATTAAGTTACCGGTAGAATTTTGCCACAAGATCCTGACGGATCACCATATTTTCTCAGTATTATGGCTGAAATTCTAATGATGGTCAATTTTCTTTTTTTTATAAGATAAGTTGTGATCAAAATTAAAAAGTTTAACTCTCTAAATTCAAAATGTATCAAACAAATTGGGACAGAAGAAATAGTTAAGAAAAAATATACGACACCTTAAAATGATAACAGTAAAGTATGCATTTGTTTGTACTTTATGCCAAATCGTAACACTCAAATTACACAAATAGCTACCTTTTGTTAGGTGAAACTGATCGTAAAACTTAACACTAATAATTCCATGATCTTGCCTATCTTGAATGTGGCAGTGCCACAACCTGCCGAAACCCATGTCCCTATTGCTAGACACTTGATGGCCCATCTCATGTGTAAATGAGCCAGTCAAATTAATGATTTAACAGGCCCAGTTAATGCAGCTTTCATAGTTCTTCCACATCTACCGTCGGCAACCGTGCATCACACACTCATTTTAGTTATTATATCATGACATGGGGAAGATATGAACACTATGCATGGATTTGTTTATCGACAATTAATTCACTTCAAGACCGAGTCAGTATGTACTAAAAACTCATCAGATCACCAGTCACCTTTCTATAAAATGCTTTAGTCAAACGAGTGGAATAACCGAATAATAGATTGAGATTGAACTTTTATTGCCCTTTTAATATGTCTAAATTCCAGGATCAATAATCAAAAGTAGTTGATACATCTTTTTCGCTTGAACGAGTTACATATTAGTAGCATTCGCTATTAGTACATCATGCTCTTTTACAATTTTAAAATTAAAAAAATGATCTTTTAACATCTCTCATGTGTAAAAGACAAGTTACGTGTAAAAGTAAATTACTAATGTGTAAAAAAAAAGATAGGATCATAAAACAAAAAATAAATTTGAAAAGAGCTACAAAACCAATTAACATCATGTATGTGCAAATAATCAAACACTCTTCATAAACTGTTTATGGACAGTAATAGCAATTCAACCTGCCGATCATGAGTACTCTCGCCGTTTTATTGTATATTTTAAATTAGTTACAATATTTTTCAAATACAGAGCAAAAAAGCTAAATGGTGAGTAGAATATTTTAATGGGTAAATCTCTGTGATATAATTATAAAACTTTTGCCGAATTCGACAAACTCAGAAGGAAAGTAAAAGAAGAAGTTAATATTATTTCCTTTTTGTTATGGCTAGTTCTAAAAAACGAAATATTACAGTTGGAAAAGATAAAATAGAAGTCATCTAGATTTAAGCTAGACCAAAGAAGCTAAGATAACCCAAAAAGCAAATAAAAGTATTTAAAATCAGGGTATATGTTTTTAACAAGATCGGGATCAACTAAAATCAGCGTTATTTACAAAGTGTTGTGTTGCATAACATTTATGTATGTATAACATGAAGTGCTGCCATGGCTAAAAACAGACGGAAAGAAGAGAAAGGGAATGAGGGGCTAAAGAAGAGCCGACAACTATTACTTTCCCGAGCCATAGAACATGCATCGCATTTATTGACTTTGTCCAAAATAAAGCTAGAGATTAAATTTAATTTTCTACAAAGACGGGACACGTACATTTTAGTCGCATAGGAATTTTAAACCCTTTGCCTACCATTCCACCAAAGCAGGGCACACTCGCGCCTTAATTTGTGGCAGTGGGGGCGGCGGCGATATTGCCTCTCTTCCTCTTTCTACGCTGTAACTAAAGTTACTATGTGAAACCAAGATTTAATTTTACATAAGAAGATTGGCACATTATCTCCAGTACAATATCACACTGTTAAATACTTGAGAAATTTTTCATTAAAAAAAAGAATTGTTTTACTTAATCAACACATATTGAACACATAACACGCTGCTGAGTATTGACAAATCTAAGAATTATTTTGCCACCTAATTGGAAATTGTACTAAAAGCAAACAGGAGAATTTCATAAGAATTCTCTGTACTATTGAACAATTAATGAATGATTTAACATTTCAATAACTGCATCAAATTAAACGATGGCATTCACATTAAATATGGAGAAAATCCTATTACACAAAATAGGACTACCATCACTAAATTATTTATTCTTTCTCATTCAGTAACGCAAGATCAGTCGTTAGCTTCCGTAAAAGAAAAGAGAAGGGGGATATCATGAAAAGATATATTAACCGCAACAAATTTCACAGGGCCTCCGGTGGAGTCTTGATTTGGTGGTTGATAAAGTAAGATGTGAAAAATTATTAAATTCCTTAACTTTTTCGTCTATTAGCTCTAAGTATTCTTTGCGTGACTGCAGTATAATATTATTTTGGGAACAATAACTTTGTACGTATAATACTATATTGATTCCTAAAAATTACTTGTTGAATTATACAAATGATTTGCCCTTGAAGTCAGGAGTAGTAAAATCTGGGTGTCTCTGTCGGTGGTAATAGTGAAGAGAACCTAAAATTGCTTATCTTACACTCAAACGTCAGTTACACAAAGCGAAGCACCACTCTGCTAAAGAAATTAGAAATACTACTAAAGAATTCTATATTACAACTCTCACTTCTTCTCCATTTGCTCTGTTCTCTACTTTACAGCCATTTCTTGTCTCTAGCAATTCTCCCAATTTGCTAGATTCAGTCTCCATTTCTCATCAAATGCTTCCTCCATACTCAGACGAGTCCCTTGAAGTCGATGAAACCCTACGAAAACCTCCCAAAGCCAATAACAACGACCTTTTCAAGAATGCACTGAGCAATTTCCAGTTCCAGATTTCTACTCACCCACGTTTCTGGCTTTTCACCTTCTTCCTCTTCTTCCAACTCGTAGTTCTCATATTTACCCGCAATTCCCCCTTCCCCTTTTCAACCCACTCCCCACCCCAATCCCTCCCCCACTTCCCTTCAGAAACCGCATTGTTTGCCGACTTACAGAAACCCCATCATGATCCAAATATTATTTATCCTTTCGGAGATTCGGAGTGCGAGTATGGTCGTGTTTATGTCTATAATCTACCTTCTAAATTTAACAAAGACCTGGCTTTAACTACCTGTGACGATCTAGACCCGTGGAAGTGGCAGTGTGGACTAGTCACCAATGACGGATACGGAAAGAGATCAACGGACCTCACCGGAATCTTGCCGGGAAATCTCTCCGCAGCGTGGTACCGTACAAATCAGTTCTCATCGGAGGTAATATTTCATTACCGGCTTTTAAACTACAGGTGCAGAACAAACGACCCTGATTCTGCTACTGCTTTCTACATTCCGTTCTACGCCGGACAGGCTGTCGGAAAATACCTATGGACCGATGAAATCGAAAATCGTGATTTGCTTAGCAATAAAGTACTGAAATGGATCCAGAGGCAAAAGTACTGGAAAAAATATAACGGGTCGAATCATTTCCTAACACTGGGTCGGATAACGTGGGATTTCCGACGATTAGGTGACCCAGAGAAACTCTGGGGTTCCACTTTTCTAAATCGGCCACAGATGCAGAACGTTTCGCGTTTCACCATCGAGAGGGCTCCTTGGGATGCAAATGATATCAGTATACCTTACCCTACTGGATTCCACCCTCACTCCGAGAAAGAACTCAGGGAATGGCAGAACTTTGTGCTTTCATATAACCGCACGAGCCTTTTCACGTTCATTGGCGCGGCGCGTGGGGATATCAACAGTGATTTCAGATCGAGGTTAATGAGTTACTGTAGAAACGAGTCGGAGTCGTGCCGAGTCGTGGATTGTGCCGTTACTCAGTGCTCTAACGGTTCGTCAGAAATCCAGAAAGCACTTTTGAGCTCCGATTTTTGCTTACAGCCGAAAGGGGACAGCTTGACTCGGCGGTCGGTTTTCGATTGCATGGTGACCGGTTCAGTGCCGGTTTTTTTCTGGCGACGAACTGCTTACACGCAGTACCAGTGGTTTTTACCAGAGGAACCGGGGAGTTATTCGGTTTTTATAGACCCTGAAGCAGTGAGAAATGGGACGGCTTCCATTAAGGAAATATTGAAAAGTTACAGTAAAGATCAAGTAAGGAAAATGAGGGAAAAAGTAGTAGAAACAATTCCAAGAATAGTGTATTCAAGGCCAAGTGGAGGTCTTGGGAGTGTAAAGGATGCATTTGAAATTGCAGTTGAAGGAGTATTGAAGAGGGTCAAGGATGAAAATGAATGGAAGGAATACGTGGATATGGGCAGTTGAAGATGATGAGTTCATAATTTGGGGATTTGATGAATGTAAAGTATATAATTCTTTCCCTTAATATTGAGCTATAAGTATAATCGTATAAATACACGGACAAGTTTGAAGCAGGATGGGTAATTCTGTGTGGCTGCTGCTGACATGATTCTCAGTTTTTAGAATCAGCTTAGGTTGCTGGATTATGGCTAGGATTTCACACATATATTACGTACCAAATATTTCTAGAGATTTGTGTTAAGATCAGACGAAAAAGTGTTTATCTGCAGGTAAGAGTTATATTGATCAGATTTTGGCAATTTCTTTTCTGATTTTCTCTTTCAGTTGAATGCACTTTAATAAGGGTTCATTGAGATCAACATTTCTTCTTTTCTCTCACATTTATAGTATGTATTAACTTTTCTACCTAGTGCAGGCAAAGTACATTTTACCTTATCGTTTGTATCTAACAGTGTTTAGCTTCTCGTCGAGAAACCAAGCCCCGAACTTTAAAAAGTAATGCATTTTAATCTATCAACATTCGCACTGAATTTTAGAAGGCAAAATAGCATATGTTGAAGTTTACTATACTTGCTGAAACAAAGGGAAAAAACTTAGAGAAAAAGCTCTCGTTTAAACTTTAAGGACGATATAATAAAATTATTGCTTAAACTCCATTAATAATATTTTCATTTGGGAAAAGGAATTGAGATCGTTTGCTGATATGAAAGAAAGATCGAGGTAATTAAGTAAATTACATAATTCAACGCGCATTAAAAAGTATAATCTCTAGCGGAAGGGAAATTAATGCGTTTGATATTTAGATTGAACTTTTCCTAAAATCTCAGCAACTTCCATAGACATTCAACTACTTCATTTGCAAGAGATATTTTTCCAGCACTTCCATATGTTAAAATGATTTGAAATTTAGTTGTAATCACCCTATTAAAATTTATCTGCTAATTAATACTTCCTTCGTTTCAATTTAAATGACACATTTTCCTTATTAGTCGGTTAAAAAAAAAAGGACACATTTCTATATTTCAAAACAATTTAACTTTAAACTTTTTATTTTATCCACTTTAGCATCAACGAAATGGAATAGGAATAACATAGTTTTTGTAGCAGAAATAGTAAAAAAGTCGTACTCTCTGTTCTCTTCTCAACTAGTTTAACTAATAGTGAAGGTACAAGTGCTGCAATTTCTCATATAACTTGAGAAAGCAAAGCTGTGGTAAAAAGCATAAACCAGACTAAAACTGTCCAAAACATAGAAGGGAGAACTGTCAAAAGATGTACATCGTCGGAGTTTCCAGGAGCTTGCTTTGCTTGGTTATCACTCGATTTGGGTCTAGAAGGTGTAGAAATCTTGGCTTACAACCAGCCAATGAATATAGATTACTTGGGGATTATGCTAATATCAAGACCATACCAAACTTTGACCCGACAGTTGATAGGCTAAAATAATTCTTTGAAACGCTTAACACGTTGGAGCAGCATGGGAATATTCTTAGAAGCTCAATTGAGCTTTTACTTTGTTGGTGAAAGTTTGATTTCTCTCTTCACCCATTTTTTCTTCCCCTACCTCCAGTTTGAGAAAAAATACTGGAGCAGCATAATATTAACAAGGTTGAATACATATGCGGCCCCCTAAACTTATCCATTTTTTTCACTTATAGACACTTATAAATGTCCATGTTTTTTGGCTCCAACCTGTCGTTCCTTATCATGTCCAGCTTTTATTTTAATATTAACGGAGGAAGAGAAAAAATGATTATTATAAGATGAACTGGTGGAGAACTTGGGGCACAAACAAAAGAACGATGTAGCACATATATAGGACCATTGAATTGAAAAGTCAGTTGTTGACTCAGAAACCCATCATATATAAACCAAGCAAGTGCAACAAGGTTCAGATATGCCCTAAAAAACAGAAAATGGAAGCAACTTTGTTGTATACTTCACTCTCTATTTTCTTTCTACTTGTAGCTCTGAAACTTGTTTCCTCAAGACGAAGACAAGCTATTAATCTCCCACCAAGCCCAGCACTTAAAACTTGCTATTATAGGCCATCTCTATCTCTTAAAACCACCTCTATATCGCACTCTTGCTAATCTCTCAACTAAATATGGCCCTGTTTTCTCCCTTCATTTTGGTACCCGTCTTGTTTTGGTAGTGTCCTCCTCATCTGCTGCCGAAGAATGCTTCACCAAAAACGATATCGTCTTGGCCAATCGCCCTCGTTTAATGATCGGCAAATACATAGGCTATAATTATACTACTCTCGTTGGTTCCCCTTATGGTGATCACTGGCGCAACCTTCGCCGTCTTTGCGCACTTGAAATTTTCTCCACTAACCGTCTCGACAATTTTCAGCCAATTAGACTACATGAAGTCAAGCTTCTTGTTCATAGAGTGTTTCAGAACTCGGGTGGAAATTTTGGGACTCCTGTTGAACTTAAGTCAAAGTTTTTTCAGATGTCATACAATATTATCATGAGAATGGTAGCTGGAAAGAGATATTACGGTGAAGAGGTAGATAACGAGGAGGCAAACCATTTTCGGGAGCTTGTAGAAGAGGTTATTTCATATGGGGGCGCATCAAATCCCACGGATTTCATGCCTGCAATATTTCGTTGCTTTTTCAGGAGTTTCGAGAAGAATTTGGCCAGGCTTGGTAGCAAAATGGACGCACTCTTGCAAGGTTTTATTGATGAACACCGTCGTGATAAAAGCAGAAATACCATGATTGATCATTTGCTTTCTCTGCAAGAATCAGAACCAGAATATTACTCTGATCAAATCATCAAAGGAATAATATCGGTAAGCTCTCTTCAATGCTGCATCTCCCACTCTATGTTTAAATTGAGAATCTTTGTTTAACTTAGCCGCATGGGATGAACTTGATTTAGTGAATATTGGTCCACATATTATGTGGTTCGCTCTGTATGTCCTGTTCTAGACGTACAATATCCCTATTGGTTGAAGGATTGGATTGTCGTCTTTTTATATAAGTTTGGCCAATCCTTAGCTCGTGCGGTTGAAGGATTGGATTGTTCTCTCTATATATGGTTTTGTCTAATCCTCATCTCATGAGCTAGCTTGTGTGGTTGAGTTAGGACCAATGTCCATTTTCTTGACCGGATGTATATAAAAGCCACATCCTTTTGCTTGAAATTGTTATAAACATATATTTATACTATGGTCGAAGCAAAAACATAGTATAATTGCCTTGGAATATCAAAATATCAACTTAGAAGCAGTTGCAGGACAGTTTCTCATTAACTAACAACTGCAGGTCATGCTGAATGCGGGGACTGAAACATCATCGGTAACAATAGAATGGGCAATGTCTCTTCTACTCAACCATCCCGAGGTGTTGGAAAAGGCCAAAGCTGAAATAGACGACCATGTGGGAAAAGATCGTTTAGTGGACGAAACAGATTTACCCAAGCTGAAATACCTTCAAAATATTATTTCGGAGACTCTCCGATTGTACCCTGCACCAATGCTAGTGCCTCATGAATCATCCGATGATTGCAAGGTCGCGGGCTTCCACATTCCACGTGGCACGATGCTATTGGTGAATGCTTGGGCCATCCACAGGGACCCCTTACTTTGGGAGGACCCAGAGAGCTTCAAGCCAGAAAGGTTTCAAGGTGTACAAGTGGAATCATGGAAGCTATTGCCATTTGGAATGGGAAGGAGAGCGTGCCCGGGTTCTGGACTTGCTCAACGTGTGATTGGTTTAGCTTTAGCAACTCTAGTGCAGTGTTTTGAGTGGAAAAGGGTAAGCGAAGAGGTGGTTGATTTGATGGAAGGAAAAGGTCTCACTATGCCAAAAGCCGAGCCACTCATGGCTAGATGCGAAGCTCGTGACATTGTTCACAAAGTTCTTTCAGAAATATCCTAATGTTTTCGGAGTTTGAATCAATAATGTCTCATATAATTTAATATGCACTATCTACATTTATGTCATTGTGATACTCCGGATCAAATATATGCGGTACTCTTTTTAGCAGTGTAAAACTAGAAACAAAGATAGTCAGTTACAACTTCCAATTGCAACAAGTAGGTGGAAATGTTTGCTCTTCAGTAAAAAGGAAAATAACATCATTTCTTCCAAATATGTAAACTTGCTGGTATCCTCACTGTTGAACCTCCTTCCACGCTTCACGGAGAAGCTGGTATCTAACAATATTTCTAGCAGGTTTTGCTAAATTTGGATAATCCTTGAAGCTATCAGCGAGGAACGAAGTAAATGGTGAGTCCAGCTCATCAAGTTCAACATCACTAGTGTATGTTTTCTTGAGTACAGATGAACCCCTAATCTTTGGAGCTTGATTGCCAACCTTCTCTATAAAAGTAGTGAGAGACAATGCTGGAGGAGGTGTATAGACAGGCAATGTGAAAGTGCACGGGAAGCTAGTCAGCAATTCTCCAGGACCATCTTTTACATCCTTAATCCGGAAAAATATTGTGTAAGAAAGGTTATGTGACTTCAGGCTAATTAGCTCCATAAATAGGACAAAATGAGAGGGAAAACTTACTTCACAATCTAGGGCCTCAAGGACATTCATTGGAATTGGATCAGGACGGAAATCATCTGGAACAAAATTGGCGAGAACTCTTTTGATCAAAGCTGGACCAAATATTGGGCAGACCTAGTAAAAACAAGTTCAGAAATAATTTTGGAGAAATTAGATTTGCTAGAGATTGATCTGTTGATAAATGAAAGGGAAATTTTTACTAACTTCTTTTCTTGTGGATGCATCTATGAGCATTTCAAATGGAAGCATCATGAGGTTGCTCAATGCATTAAGGAGACGAAAAACCTTGAACGATTCTGCTTTTTTGTCATTACAAAAGATGTTATTATACTCTGTTGAAACTTCATCTTGAAAGCCAATAAGATCTGTAAGCCATCCAGACCAGCTCACAACCTATCAACAAACGAAAATAGTCATAATTGTTGGATTTTGCATTTGTTACTGCTGATATTTGATTTACAAGAATAATAAGTAGTTTAGTGACTTTAGTCAAAGGAGGAGTCTTTGTTCAAATTTAAATTTAATAGGATAAGTTGGTTGAGATAGTTTAGGTTTTTGAATTTGAATATTTATTTTCCAGATTTTCTGCATATTCTGTTTTAAATTGGCTATTTAAAGCCTTGTTATGCATAATAAAATTATTGAGAGACATTTTCAATCTATATTTTTAATATTTTTGCTGCCCCATCTTTTAAAAAACCCAACAATAATCTATAAATAAATACTCCCTTGAACCAAATTAGTTCTCATTTCCCATCTCAAGAGTTAATCAAGAGATCTTCGACACTTAATCATATGAGAAAAATTGGAACTTGTAATATTTTCACGCAATTTTAAGGGAAAGAACTTAAGCAGTGTAAACTACGTATACACAACCATATTCTCACTTTTTCAGATAATGTTGTATATTATCACCACATATTGGCCATTGCCATTAGTTAACTCTGCTTAAATGATAGAAGTATATTATATGATACTTCAGGAATAAAAAGACTAGCATGAAACTAGTCACACTTAAGTTAACTTTTTCTACTCACAGCATTTTTCAACTGTGCACCAGCACCAAAGCTTGATTTTCCAGCAGGAATTGGGAGGACCTTACGATCACTTATAGGATCGAATATTGGATCTGTTGGCATTTCTTCGGTGGATTCGCGAAGAATAGCATTGAACATTGCCACATCCAATCTACTCACCAACTGCTTCATTACCTAGAAACACAATGAATACATTTCACAATAAGTCATTGTTGAAGAAAGAACAAGATATTGGAAAATCCCAAAAATCACTCAGAAAAAGAAGGATAAGTACTAGTAGAATGAAGTGGATGCTTGTGCGGTAAACAGAAAACACCTCATTCTGATGAATCAACTCACCAAATTTGGCAGAACAGGTAAGCAGCCACATTTATGGCCACCTGCCCGAAGTGGACAAAGCCTTTCACAGGCATCTTTCAGAGCCCTTTTCCAAAGTTTTACGGAAAATTTGCCCTGTTCTTGATCGCCCAAAGAATGTCTACTCCCATATGTTTTCTTCACCCTTGAGCCCCTAGTTTTACTAGGTTTTGCAGTCGAGAACTGCATATGTGGAGTCAGAGTCTGCAGGCAAAAATAAGTGACTGCACTGTAAATAAAAGTAGCACTTGTTATGGGAGAAAAGCTCAAAAAAAAATATTAGGTGATCAACCTGCCACCAAAGGGACTTGGTGATTTTGGAGAAAATCCAGGCTTCAAGCTTTTCCAATGCTTGAGTGAATGATTCGATGTCCTCCCAGTTATAATATTGCTTAACTAAATGACTCTTGTTCCCTTGGCTAGCAATTGATTTGATGCTTTGCTGCAAATATATTTTTTCCAACGCAGACCTACCTCTGTTGCCAGTAGTTTCAGTAGGTGCCCCTTCATTAAATTGCACTCCTGCAGCAGCCTGACTGATGATTGCTCTTAACATAATGGAATTCGACAACCAGAAAGTTAACCTGGTTGTGAGAAAAATAAAATTAGACCAATCCTGTAAAGTTTCCAATTTCATCCTTAGACATATTTGTTCCAACATATTGATTTGGGTTCACTATCCACTTAATTTACGATGCATGGAAGATTGATGCTGATCTAGTAATTAGAAGCTGGAAAATTACAAGTACCAAGAAAATTAAGTAGCTTATAAGATCATCAATCACAAGAGTGTACCTTGGAATATCACTTCCACATGCTTTAGAAACCAAAGCTAATCCTGAGACAGAGGCTCTAGCAGCACTTGCCTGTTTAGCAGTGGATTTTGTTCTCCAAGCATGGAGATAAAATCTAGCAAGGCGCCTGGCTGGAGTGTGAACTTTGTTCAATGAACTTCCATGCTCAGCAACTACTGAATAAAGGCCAACTTCAATAGCTGCAGCTTCTTTCAGTTCTTCCTCAAGCATCTGAATTCTAGACTCCGATTCAGGTTTACTTTTTGACAGAACATTTGCTGGAGCTCTTTTTTCAGTTGCTGAAGTGCTGGTAGTATTCTTTGGTTCTTTTTTCTCCACTACTGTACTTTTAGCAATACTACTAGTTTCTATTGGTGTCTGTTCTTTCATTTCTTTCTTAATAATCTCAGTGTTCCCCAGAAATACATTTGCACTTGTGGAGTCTCTTATCTGGACGGACTTCACTGGCTTCAATCGGCCATGTGTGATCTGAGCTCCAAGAGCTTTACGAATGGAACTCATCGTACCTTGTCTTTTCATACTTTTAGCTATTTTGCCGTCTGACAAGTATCTTGTGTCATCAAGGAACAGTTCATCCTGTCCAAAATCATGTTCTGTTGTTTCATCCGCACTACTTTGACTGTCCGCACCTGCCTGAGTATGCATATGTGAAGACGTAATTTTTGATATCAATCTATCAATGTATTTTTCTTTAGATATCTGAGTATTTTCTTCGCTTTTGCTTGTTCCGCTGGCTGCCTCTCCATGCATGTCATTCTGCAATTTAATGTCAGTTAAATCTTAAGCAGAAAATAACTCTACAATGCACAGGAAATATAATTAACCAGAGATAATCTCATATTGCATCGTGAGTCTGATGTAGATGTAACAATGGTATCCCATAATTTACCTTCTGCTTAATTCATTACTAGTAACATTGCAATCTAGATCAACTAACCACATTAAAAAGCTTAATTTGATTCTTCTTTTTCTTTTGCCCTTTCTATTGAAGGAGAAGCTGAAATTGAAGTCAAATGTCTAGTTCTTACAAGCGGCCTATAAGAATATAAACCAAAAGTTCCAGACTGGAGAAAAGTAGAAGCACGATATGAAATTCATAGGAGATGATAAATTTTGACCAGAACCGTACAGATTTTCCATGGAATTTAAATGAGGTTGAGCTAACTGAATGCTTGTTAACCAATAGGATAATGAGTTTACACTATAGTGTTTTACACAATCATATAAGTGAAAAGATAACTATTGATAATCATTCATAATAATTGGTAGTAGTAATTATAACCCGAAAAATAAGCTAGGCAGCTTCGTCAGTCATGTCACTTGCTACATAAAATACAATGAAAGTTAAATCCTACATAATTTAAGTCAAGTACCTTTACAACTCGAGATGGTGAGGGCCATGCCACCTAAAAAAACAGAAGAGTCAGGAATGCAAGGAAGAGAGAAAGCAGAAGCAGTTAAAAACAATGATGGAATGTGAAATACCTTTAGATTGTTAGATGGTGAAGCCCAAGCAGCTTCAAAAACAGAAGAGGCAAAAGTTGAGGATGAGTGGGACGAAACATCATCATCAGTGTAAGAAGCAACATCGGAATCATCTTCACCATCATCAATCAGTAAGTCTGATTCTTGCTTATCTTTAACTGGCTGTACCTTAACATATAGAGATGGTTGCAGCAAGGTTTTAGAACTCTTCTTGCAGTTTAAGGGAACACTAATAGCTAAAGTTTCTTTGATAACTCCATATTCTGCAAAATTTATTGAAGCTGTCCCCAAGAGTTGACCTTGAGCTGCATTCTCCTTTGTATATTCGTACAAGGAGAAGTCCAAGTTATTCTTTAGAAATTTATCTTTGGATTTTTTCTCGCGGCATAAAGTTAAGAATAGGGTGAAAGTCTTGTTAATTTCAAGATAATCATCCTCAACAGAGGAAGTCACAAATCCAGAATTGCGATCACCATTCTCCCACTGAAGTAATACCGACTGAACCGACCTCAATGATTCTGATGGGGGCCATGGCCTAATAATCTGGATATGTACAATGTAATCAATTTGGAAAGAAGCACCCTTTTTCTTCTTTTTCCCAAGACCCATGCCTTGTTACTAACTTGCAATATAATACCAAAAACCAAATTTGTTAGTAGTAAACACAAGATGCAGTGCTATATGCTTGCTCTTCCGACTGTTTGTTTGGAAGAAATGAAAAACCAAGTTATTATGCGTGCGTCCAACTACGTTAGAAAGTCGACAGAATGACTAAACAAATGTACGTGACTTAGGACTAATGTCCCCAACGGACTCTCCACCGCCCAACTTTGTTTGTTGAAAAAAGATATTAATTACTTGTAGTACTTACTAATTTTGTGGTTTGCCACTAATATTGACTAATGCCTAACCCATTAGCTAAATTAAATATTCGGTTTGGACTAGATAATCCGTTACTTGTTCTTGTGCATTCATCTGATTAGTGATTATTAATGTAACATTAACACTTACCTTTTAAATAAGCTTTTATCCTTTTTCCCCAAGGTACAAGAGTTTATGCTATTGATATAAAGAGGATGAACCAATCCCTTGTTGATCTAGTGGTTTTGTTACCATAAGAATAAGGTACGAATATATTTTTGTTTTCTCCTTTTGTTCGATGAAAAAAAAATATACGGAGGGGAGGAACTAAATATTTTTCTGTTTGAGAAATCTAGTTGAGTGACCTTTTGAGTGCGATGAAATTAAATAATTAATTTTTCTATTACAAACAAAAAAATAATAATTTTACTTCATAATTGATCATTTGAGTAATGGACTAGAATCGAAGAGCTAAGTAGCGTACACAATTAGAAAGCCGATGTTGCAAGGACAAAATCACGTCGACATAATCAGTTCGCATTTTTAACTTCTGAATTTTGTTCATATCAATGCTACGGTAGAAGTAAAAGAGGAGCACACGAAGCTCCTCCTGTATCAATCCTTTCAATTCTAGACATAATTTTGATTTACAAATGTATGGAGAAGTGCAGATTGCAGGACAAGAGCAACTGCCGTAATTAAATGAAACCTTGCTTCTGTTCCCCGCAGGTTTGGACATCCTCACAAATCTCGTCTCTATTTAAACCAATTGTGTTCATGGAAAAACTCCCAATATCATTACCTCATTTATCAACAACGTAATGCTCCCTCCGTTCATATTTATTTGTTCACTTTGGACTAAATAATAATTGTACTATGTATTTTACCATATAACCCCTAATAATGATAGCATTCGAAAATGTTTTGGGAGATAATTTTGAAAATGAGCAATTGATGACAAGGGTAAATTAAAATAGGAAAAAAAAAATTGTCTTTCTCTTGATTTAGTATAGTGGACAAGTAAAAAAGAAAATATATGTTTAGTATCGTGGATAAGTAGAAGTGAACCGAGGGAGGGAGTATATAGGAACCTTTCAAGATTAGAGTCCTCACATTAACCATTTCACCTCAACCCCAAAAGTTTTCGGGAAAATACAAAGGAAATAAAGAAAGGAAGTGACTATTTTCATTACCATCAACATTCTAGTCATGATCTTTCTTATTCACGAAATCTTCATACAGACATCTATAAAAATCTTCCCACAATTGAATATGGAGACTTATTTTCTTTCCTTCTATTGTATGTATTAAATAAAAGCTTGAGCACTTTCTACATCTGCAATGTATAGCTAGTTCTAAATCTGAATAAAGCTGAAACAGAATTCTAATATCTTATCAAGCAAATGTAGTCAAAATATAATGAACTTTCTGATACTGAATAGAGCAAAATTATAAATACAAAAGTTCATTGTATCTTATGAAATAGTTAAGGTACGCACAATCTAGTCCATTGTCTCAACTAATATGCAACTGAGATATAGTTTAACGCTGATCGATTGATAAATAAAACCCAAAGAAAAGAAGTCAAAAACAGTATATATCTCAGCTTAAAAAAAGGAAATTATCGATGCCCAATGTTAATCAAGACGATAGTTGGCATGCATGTGGAGCTTAGTACTGCATTTCACCCACAGACTGATGGGCGGACTGTTCAGATGTTAAGAACATGTATTATTGATTTCAAAGGCCACTGGGATCAATTTCTACCATTGGCAGAGTTTGCTTACAAGAACTATTTTATTAGCCAATTCACGAAAACAGCATTGGCAGCGTCCCTACTAGAAATTATATACTATTACTACTATTCAGATACCAACCAGTATACTGAAATAATCAACCTAAGGACGTGGTATATCATCCCTCATTTGTCCCTCCAATCATTCAAGATTAACAAATTCAGGAAAATAGAAGAGACCAACTTCAGCATCTGGTTGATTCTTGACTTTTGATCTAATCACTTTCACTCCGGTTGGGTTTTGAGGACGTGAATCCAACCTGATTAATAAGCCTTAGAGCAAAAATATGAAGCTCAACATAAATTATAGTGCAAACACATGAAGATTCAATTAGCAAGCTCATTAAAATGCATCTGATAATCTTCACTGCTGGGAATCCAGTCGTTTCTCGCTGGATTAGTGTTCAACTCTTTGACTCTGCCATTCTCATGACCACCGTTCAATTGAAGATTGTAAATGTTACCATCCGTTTGGTTGACCATCTTTATGAACCCACTTCCAGTCTGCCAAGAATTGAACTTTAACACAATAAATATATGAATAACATAATTCGAAGGTCACACTCACACATATATCTGTATGAAACATACAACGAATGATGGATGTATATCTCAAATTTAAACTCTATATGTATATACAAAAATGACATAAAAAATTGTGACATGCTAAAAAGGTACACTAACTACTTTTATAAAAATACATGTGAAAATTTACAATATTAAATTGCGAATCCATAATGTTAAAAGTAGAATAGATTCTTAAAATGTCAAGATGAATTTTTAGATCGGGATCTACCTAGATATGCAGCATGGAAAGTAATTAAAAATTTAAAACTCAATGGTGGTACAAGGACAAGAGTAGAGAACCGTGTGATGCTGTTTGTCAATGGAAACCAACTCGTTATAGTAACGAGTTTCCACAAACTCTTCATGCTCCGAGCTATTATTACTTTCAGAAAAGATAATACCAGCCTGATCAAAATTCAAAAGAAGTGATCAGATTTTTTAAAAATAATTTACATTCATGTTTAATTAGCAGAAGGCCGGGAGCAGAGTACTTGAGACTGAAGAGATCGGAGATTTTCAAGTTCTGGAATAGGGAACTCTTGTAAAGGAATTGTGGGCGAGACTGAATCCGGTTCACTGCGGTTAGGTTTGGCGAGTCTTTTAGGTGCTTGAGCATCGAACAGGGCTTTCACTTGGTTGGTAATTTGGAGCTGCTGATGTTCGTCTAAAACCTCGTCGCTCCGACTAGGTTTGATCACCGTCACATGTCGTCGTTCCATGATGTTGGATTGGGAAGATTACTATTTTCAGATCGGTGGGGGTCAACACCTACTGATTATCAATACGAATTAACAACATTCTAGTTTACAAACAAACCATGGGCGCCTATTACACTGTTGCTTGTTGCCACGTTCCTCTGTCTCACCAAACTTTAATGATCTAGTTTGAATATTAACAAAAAATGACAAAAGGTGAATTGTGTTATAAATAGAATTATATTTATGGTGAGTGTTTATATTTGGAGAGATTCTATGGTTCGTGGTTAAGTCACCCTCTCCCTATAAATAGAGGGTTCTATTCCATTGTAATTCATCCCAAATCAATAAGAGTTCTCTCCCTCTACTTTTCTCTGCAATACTCTTCTTCTTTTATTGTTTTATAACACGTTATCAACACGAGACTCTAACCAATTGAGTAGAAGCTTTGTGATTGAGCATAATGATTGTCAATTGTTCCATGAACTTCCTTCATGATTAAATTCTGAATTTACGGTAAGTTTTTTACCGTATTTTTCTCTTTTTTTTTATAATTTGATTTTAAATACAAGCAAAGACAATAAATTTTGATTACAACTCTAATGGAGTTTGTAAGAAATTATAACCACCCGAAGTGGTAAAATTTCTATGTCTTGCCATGATCAAAGTCATGTATGATCGTGAGCACAAGAAGTGAAAACCCGTCCCATTAAATTTGCTCCACTCTCATTCCCTTAAGAGAATGTGATAGCAATATGTGATAAGTCTAAAAGAAGACAAAATTATTACCGTGAAGGTATCAATGGATGTGGACGTGGCAATGGACGAAATTATAATCATCATCATTGTGATAATGAGAATAATAAGGATTCTCAAAATAATCCTTCACTCTGTGAAAGTAATATTTGTCATCGATTTGACATAAGATTTTATAAAGCACATATAGATGATTATGGTCCATTCATGATGTGAATGTGACAACATCTGATTTAAGAATACATATTCATTTTTGGAAGAATATGAGCGTGCCTGTGGTATATACCACACTCACCTCTAGAAGGAGGTTTGAGAGGAAATAAGAAAATAATGTCATTATTATGGTATAAATGGTCATTGGTCACGTACTTATTGTACGCCAAAATATTTTGGCATTGTGATTATTAAAAGACAGCGGTAATGCAAGAAACAGAACTTGCATATAATTTTGACCATAACCATGATGGTATAACTTTCTCTTTAAAAGAGATATTCACCATATGATGTTGATGAATATGTGGTAGTACAAAATTAATTGAGAGCTTTGGAAGAGCCAATTATTATTATTTTGGAGGAATAAAATTGGCTATCAATAAGGTATTGTGTTGTAGTAAGTCTCAAAGAAACTTATTCAGTTTCCAAAGTATACGCGAAAGCGGTTGATTATATTGAAAGTATAAATAAAGGAAAGATTTAATATCTTCTATTACTACAACTTGTAGCGGGATAATATGTATGTGAAAAGCTACCCGCTTTATTCTCCAGTTTGTACTACACAAATAAAAGAATACCACAATAAAGTGGATGTTTATTAATATAAAAACTCATATCATAATAAACTTGGAGTTTATTGATAATTGCACACGTCATGGTGTAAATCTGAAGTTTATCAATATTGATAATTTATTCACTTCATAATTGGTTTACCCATATCAATTTAAGTATGATGTGCAAAAATAAAAGAGAATTCACATGGGCAAATATTAAAGAACTAGAAAGTTCTTTACGAATTCTCTTATGTTGCCTGTTCTCATTAATTAATATACTAACTAAAATTGGATTGAATCCCATGAATGCTGGAAATATCAAAGGTGAATATGGGCCCATTCACCTGCCACGTATACCACATAAGATACATCTATGAGATGGTTACATGTGCGATTATTATTAACCCGCAACATGGTGTTTGCGAGGTAACTTGCTCAATAATTTGATTTAGAGCATAATTTCCAGATTTTTTATTCAAGATAGTTTATCTTGATAAGTTGGTTTATATCACAGTTGGTTTAGCGAAATGATTTATTGAGTGCCTCCACTTAATAGCTAAACTATTGCTTATGAGAACAAAGTTATCTATATCAGTTTGATATAGGTTATATACGAAAGTATATTACATTCTCCCCTCACAAGTGGTTTCATGGTCAGGAACCAAATAATTCCATCTCATTATAATTAATATGCGGTGTATATTTTGATTAACACCATAACGCACAAAGATGGGTTCTCAAAGTTGAGGAAACAAGTTAGTTTTTCTAACATGAGGGGGAGACATGATAAACAGTTGAGAAAAAGTTACATGGAATGAATTATCATTTGTACATCTAGATCCTCGAATAAGATAATATGAACTTGTAGTTCATAAAAGGATAATTCATTTGCAATATATTGCAAAGCATGCCAGATGCATTTGCTGACCCAAAGAAAGTAACTATATTCTCATTGCAAATGCTCCTATTAGAGTAAGTCCTAGAAGGACAAAGTCTATGGTACGCTTAAAGCGTATAGACAAACCGATTTCAAATAAACTTCTTGATAAAGAAGATGAGCAAATGATCATAGTAAAGGAGACAAGTGATCTAGAAGATCACATGACATAACATTTCATAAAATCTCAAGAGAGATTCAGGTACCTGAAAATATGAATGAAGAGATCTTTATGTTATGTCTTTATGAAAAAATATTGAAACTGATATAAAATGTTTGTCGACGACATNAATAGTTTGTCGACGACATCTATGATAGCGCTAAATATATATATATATATATATATATATATATATATATGAGGATCTTAAATCTGAAGAAACAATTCGAATAGAATTGGTTTCATATGAAAGACATGTGGTTTTGAACATGTAGTTCAAACACTTGAAAGTATAAAGTCAATGGTATGTGCAGTCAGTTTTCGATATCTTATATGTCTAGCATGACATGAAAACTTGATATGCATCTAAAGTCTATTATATGACTTATATGACTTAAAAATCCTTGAAGGATTTCAATTGCTTAAAGCATATAGAATTCATGGTCATGAAGTACTATATCCTAAATGCAATTTGTGCACATATGTATCTTTCTATAACTATAAGCATGATAATATGATAGCCAGAGTTTTCACCTCTATGTGAAGATATTGAATTGACGATTCCGACAAGATCATATGAATACAATACATCTATCAGGGATGATAATTTCAAGGTGAAACAAATTCGTTGAAGTTAATATGGCTGATATTGTTTATCAAATATCTACCAAAGATCTTTTGAAGATGGTGCGCAAGATTGGAATGCAAATGCTTAAGGATGTGAATTGATGCTCTCATCACGGGGAGTAAATGCGCGTTGCACTCTTTTTTCCTTACAAGATTTTATCCCACTGGATTTTTCTTGCAAGGTTTTTAACGAGGCAACCAAAAGGCGTATTGTTAGATATGTGTACTCTTTTTCCTTTCTAGAATTTTTTTCCCATTGGGTTTTATTTTAGTTAAGGTTTTAACGAGGCACATTATCTGTTGAATAGACATTCAAGGGGGAGTGTTATAAATAGAATTGTATTATGGTGAATGTCTATATTTAGAGAGATTCTATGGTTCATTGCTTGGTGGCTAAGTCACCCTCTCCCTATAAATAGAGGGTTCTATTCCATTGTAATTCATCCCAAATCAATAAGAATTCTCTCCCTATACTTTTCTCTACAATACTCTTCTTCTTCTTTTATTGTTTTATAACAAATTGAACTAACTTTTGGATTGAATTTATTACACAAAAATTAAAATGAAATATTTTTCCAAAAGTTAGTATTTTACAAATATTAAAATTCGCAGTAAATATTTTACTTGGTCTTCAAACCGTAGTAGTGATGGAGGGAGTGCTTTTTCAGTAGTAGTTTAGTTTTATACAAATTTAACCTCTTTAGTAATATATTTTTTTCCTGTTTTTGTCTTTATTGTTTGATATCCTTATGTTTTAGTTAGCGGATCAATATTAAAATGAAAGCATCATTTCATTATTTCTTCAACACGCAAATGAACAAACTATTCCTAATTAAAGTTCAAATAGTACATTACTACATTCGTTGGAGGAAAATAATATTAACTGTTAGATGTAGATAATAGGACTTCGAAACAAAATTTTCGCTCCTTTTCTTTATGCAAAAAGCTTCGATAATAATTCTGTTTGCCTCCATAATGAATTGGCTAATTCAATAGAATCGGCAAATATCTATCTACATTAGTTTAACTCAGCGCAAAGCTAAATGAACTAAAAAGATCTATTACTCTGATAGTCTTGCTACTACACTAGAATATAAGACAGAACTTTAGAAGAGTTAAAGTACAATAATTGTTTGGGGGTGTGGGGAGAGGACGAGGTGCTGAGTCTTGAAGTTTTGATGATTAACAAAGTGTGACTAAATGCTCAAAGAATCAGGTCCTCAATGTAGATGCTTAATTGTTGTGACGAATCAACTCCTCAGGATAAAAGATCAGCTCCTCATGATTGATACTTGTACGTATGTACAACAGAATAACTTTATCTCAAAGTTACCCAGATCCGATTTTAGTGGAAGATGACTGCTATAAGTGATAAGGGTCGTTGCTCAAGAGATATGGATAATTCAGTCAGAGACAAAAGTCCCAAAGCTTGTGGAATCATTGTAATAACAAGAGTCCTATCAAAGAGGAAGCTGACTATGAATAGGACTCCTAGAAGATCTCAAGTGCATTTTGAATAGGATCGACTTTGGACTTCCAAAATATCCTTTGACACATCAACTAAAGCGTCAGAAGTTTTTCATTCGTGTTGAGTACTTGTTTTGTATTCTTCCTGAGTCAGTCTAGTAAATGTATTTTAGAAAATCGAGTTGTAATCAAGTGTTATAAACAATTAGTGATTTGGAGTGAGTGTTTTGCTTTACAAGTTAGAGTAACTTGTGAATCAAATAGTAGTAGTAGGAGTACTGGAGAGTATTGAATTATAGTCTTGTAATTAATACATTTTGGCTCATTGTTCTAGTGGAGTTGGAGTTGAAAATCCTACGTGGTAGGTCGTGCTTTTTGCACCTTTTGAGCCAGGTGATTTTTCACGTAAAAATCGATGTGCTCATTTTATTGCTTGTTTACTTTACGCTTAAGGAACACGATAAAGAACCAAGTTCTTTAAT